AAAAAAAAAAATGCCTGGCACTCTGCAGTATTGCCCAGGAGATAATGCTTCTGACCTAGGTGTGACTACCAGATAAGCAATAGGATGCCTTATAGCTTGAGTTATAGCCTAAGACCAATGGTTCCATTTCATTAGAGATTCTGGACCAAATTAAAATGGAATCAACATTTATTGTCTTTTTCTTACAATATGTATTTTCAAAAAGCACATGTTTGCTTCAGAATAGGCGCGTTCTTTGCAAATCCTTTGGAAACAACAGAGTATGTGCTTTGATCTCAGGCCAGTTGAGATTTTGGAACCCAGATGATTTGAATGCCTCGCAGAGTGGCCCTTCCCCTCCCCAAGACTGGATAGAAGAGAAACTACAAGAAGTTTGTGAAGATTTGGGGATCACCCGCGATGGTCACCTGAACCGAAAGAAGCTGGTCTCCATCTGCGAGCAGTATGGTCTGCAGAATGTGGACGGAGAGGTAAGCCTCACGGTGTATGTTATTCAGCAATAAAGACGCCAGTAAATGCTTCCCTGGCCACAGACTAGGAGCAACCACATCATGGCCTCCTGCAGTTTGTTAGAGCTCATCCCCCTACAGCCCCCCACCAAAGTTATTTGTGGAGATTCTGTCATTGAAGAGTTCTTGCTGTGCTGTAGAAATGAAACCCTGGCAGTGAGTGGCACTTACTGAGCCATCCTGTGACCTTCAGTATCTGAAGCACATTACCCCATGTGGAAGTATCAGACACTCACTCGGGGTAGCTGTGATGTCAGATCTATTTGTAGCAGTGACACTGACATAGTAAAACATGGGAAAGGTATGGAAGAATTCAGTAGATTTGAATTGGGCAAATATTTTGAAGACCAAGCTTATAAATTCAGGTTTCTAGAAAGAAGATCATCTCTGGGTCATAAGCAGATTGAGCAAGGTATAGGAGAAGCTTACCTGCTGAGGGTGGTCTGAGCTGCTTTTACATCCTGGCATGAAGAGAGCTTTGATTTAGATAGATCAGCCAGGAGCCAGGGCAACCTCCTGGTCATGAGGAAACAGAAATGTACTGGGTGGTAGTTTTGAAGGAGCCCCCCAAAGACTCTTGTTTGGTAGAACTCTGAACTTCATGTTTTCTGAAACATTACAAGGGGATCTGGCAGCACTGGGTACCCGAATAGCTGTGAATTGTTAGAATATAAATAATTCTAAGATACATCTTCCAAAGAGCCAAAAAGGAGAACTGGAGAGAGGTGAGGGCTAGGGCTACAGCTATAGCTTTGGGAATCTTTGGTTAGAATGATATTTGAAACTATGCTGTCTGCTTGCTCAGGTGAAAAAAGAGTCCTATCATGTGAAGCATCCAAGTAACCCAGCTTACAGAAAGGATCCCCCGCCTTCTCTCCTGCATATGTGACCATTGCACACCCTTCCACTACCTTTTTAATGGTTCAGGAGTTATTTTGTGGTGGCTGTGAGTCACAAAATTAAATCTATCCTCCTATATTATAAACTAGTGCAATTATGCAGAACCTTGGGTTGTGTTTGCCAAGACATATTGCACAAACTTGGATTATTTATCTACGACCAGTTCTTGGAATCAGCTGTCAAACTGTAGCCCTTTGCGGGGAGCTGCATGTTCTTCCATGGTGCAGTCTCCAAAACCCAGGAGAAGAAGTAACATGTTAGTTATTTTTCTTTGGCCTGAGGATGAATAAAGGACTGCTTAAGAATACAGCCTCTAATTACTGTATGTCCTCCTAAAGAAAAATTGTGAAGTACTGTAGTGTGTACTGTCATCAGCTCTAAACCCCCCAGGAGCTGATGATCTCCTTAACACACAACTTGGAATCCTGAAGTTTTACAACCAAAAGCAATTTAATTTAATTTAATTTAATTTTTTTAATTGAATGATAACTATGTATATTAATGCACTTCTGAGGTACAGTGTAGGGTTTTCGCACACAATCCGAAACACTTCCATCAAACTGGTTAACATAGCCTTCGTGTCATTTTCTTAGTTATTGTTTTAAAACGTTCACATTCTACTCTTAGAAAGATTCACTTGTACCCTTGTAAGATAAACCTCAGAAGTGATCCCTCCAATCCCCCTCCCTCCACCCTTCAAAAGCAGTTTTAGATGTAGTCACCCCCTCACTTTAGAGAGAAAGAAAGTGAGAGCAGAGCTGCTCAGTGTTTTCATGAAGGGGAAGTAGATTCACGATCTTTTGCCTATAACTGCTCCTCTGCTTTCCTTTTTTTTTTCTTTTCAGTTTTTGGCCAGGGTCGGATTTGAACCTGCCACCTCTGGTATATGGGGCCAATGTCCTGCTCCTTTGAGCCACAGGTGCCGCCCTCCTCTGCTTTCCAGAAGCAAGAATGACAGCAGGCCAGGTGGCCCCTTGATGCCAAATCTGGCCAAAGCCTGTTTCATTTGTCTTGCCTAATCTAAAAATTGAACTTATTGTTATACTTCTTAAAATCAGGAGATTTTTCTAAAAAGGCAAGATTTGGCTCCGTTTTATGGGCAGTGAGATGCTCCTGCTCTGTGGGGAGGGCGGTCAGCCCTGTGTTCCGTTTGCCGGCCTTCACTAAACCGTCTCCCTCATTCATTTACGTCCCCGTCCAGCCTCGCCAGGGATTTGAGTGTGTGACCCCCATTCTCGCGCATTATTTTCCACTCTACCTGTCAGGAAACCAACCACCCAAGGAACTGACCTGTGTCGTGGGGAATGGGAGTGTCCCCCCGTCCCACAGGCAGCTCCTGTGCAGAGTGGAGGTGCCCATTTAACCTGCGTTCTTTTGTGCCTCACCCTGCCCAACCACACCCTTTTATTTACCACTTGCCCACTCCCCCATCCAAAATAACCGGCAGGACCCACCTTGGATGGGCCGGTGATGGTATTTAGACGGCCTGGCAGCTGTGCACTGATTTGCCCATGATCATAAGGTCAAGCCATGTGGATCTAAGGTCCGAGCCAAAACATCACCTTGTTAACTTCAGCCAGCACCCCTGGATTTTACTGTCACTCCTGGTCCCAAAAGCCTTGTCCCCGGAGAGAGTGAGTGTTCCTCTGGTTGATAAGAACTAGACATAAGAGCAAAGGGATCTTGGTAACCTCAGAATCTTGCCCAGATACCTTTCCATTGACTTGACCACTAAATTCTCTATGAGGAACTATTGCTTCTTCCAAAGATTTCTCCTCTTTGCAGTGGTTTTCCTGTTTCAGAGTCCTGTCTAGAGAAGGTAGTATAATGACAGGGGGATAGAAATGCCTCAGGCACTTACATGAATAATAGAATCAACACTTATTAGGACACAGGTCCTAGCAAGGGTCCTAACACAAAGCACTTGGGAATGTGCTGAAGAGTTGAGGCCTCTTGAGGACGGGTGCAGTGCAGGCTCTGAGGCCGAGTGTGAATCTGTCGCTTACTCTGTCTCCTTGCTACTCACGGGCACCACCAGATACTTGTTAGAATTGCAGGATCTCAGGCCCCACCACCAGAATCAGCATTTTAACCAGATATCCAAGTGATCTGTGTTTTGTACCTTGGAGGCATGTTTCTGTAGAAAAATTCTATCCCCTCAAATAAAGAGGAATCCCAGTGCCTGGGAGGTTTTGGTGAGTGATGTTGTGCTTTTTACCCTTCCCATTCCTCTGCAGAGTCAGGGAACAACCCGCTTCCCGGGAGAGCCCACCCCCCCATACATGCAGGGGACCTTGATTATTGTCAGAGGGTGCAGAATAGCCTGTCCACACCTCCTCATCTTTTACACACAAAGTCTATGTTAAAGGCTCTATTACACACAAAGTCCTTCTCACCCACTGTTGGTTTCTCCTGTGCTAAATCATTAAAGCATAACAGAATACACACCGTGTTATTCTAAGTAAGGTTCTAAGCCCCAAGTGATGGGCTTCAGACCCAAACTCTTAGATCATTACAGCCTGCCCCAAACCAGATTCAGCTCTGTCACTCAGTAGCACACCAATTTCAGAAATCCAATTAAGCAAAATAGCTCCGAGAGCAGTGATTCTCAACCTTTCTAATGCCGCAATGTATTTTCATTGTTAAAAAGGGGTCACAACCCACAGGTTCAGAACCGCTGCCCTAGAGTCACCACAGTATGAAGGCTAGTCAATGTCCAGTTAATTTCTATTGTCATGATACTGGGAAGCTATATATTTTTTCAGTGAATTTTTTTTTTCAAGTTAGGGTCTCCCTCTGTTGCCCAGGCTAGAGTACAGAGGTATCCTCATAGCTCACTGCAACCTAGAACTCCTGGGCTCAAGTGATCCTCCTGCCTCAGCCTCCTGAGTAGCTGGGACTACAGGAGCCATGCCCAGCTGAGTCTTTTACGTTTTGTAGAGCTAGGGTTTCACTGAGCTGCTGATCGTAAACTCCACGCTTCAAGTGGCCCTCTTGCTTCGTCCTCCTACAGGACAAAGGATTACACCCAGGATTACACCCAGTCAATTTTTTTATTTGTAAGAATAATGTGTAGCAATATTAAAGATTGTCGTAAGAGTGTCAATAAAAGAGAAGACAGTTAACTGCTAACTTGCACAGGATTATGAAGATGTTGAAAATGGATTTGTGTAAAGGACGTGCACATATCATTCCTGGAAAGGGAAATAAATTCAGTGGAATGAGAAGAAAGGGACATAATTCTATTTCTGGAATCCTGGGATCAGCAGCGGTGCTGAAATATACTTCAGGTCTTGTGTCATTTTGAGTGAAGTATTTAAAAGGTGTAGTTTCTCTTTTCTAGATGCTTGAGGAAGTATTCCATAATCTCGACCCTGATGGTACAATGAGCGTAGAAGATTTTTTCCATGGTTTGTTTAAAAACGGAAAATCCCTGACACCATCAGCGTCCACTCCATACAGACAGCTGAAACGGCACCTCTCCATGCAGGTAGGATGTGAGCAGGGAATTCTGTCTTTGTGAGTAAAAGTTAAAGCTCATGTGAATAATTTCTAATGAATTAATCTGCTGCCTGAAGCAAAATACTAAGGCGAAAAGGAGAAGCAAAAGATGAATGAGAAAGACTAACCCATTACAGAGGAAAGGTCGGGTTTGAGAAATGACCATAAATTACAGATTGGGAGGGCCACTAATTATGCCTCAGCTCTGGGTCAAAAACCCTGGAGCTAGCTAGCGACACATCTCCTCCGTGTGGAAGAACGCTCTGTTGGAACCGCTGTTTTTGATATGCTGTGTAGGGAACAGAGATCAAAGGAGCTGTATGACATTTGTTTCTCCCTAGCAGTGTAAATTAGAGAAACATGTCTCCCATCCACTGTGGTTGGGGCTCACCAGCTTTGGTCTAGACCCACATCTTTTTGAAACGAACTTTTTTGCTCAAGCCTCCTCCTCCTTGCAGTCTTTCGATGAGAGTGGGCGACGTACCACGACCCCATTGGCAATGACGGGAACCACCGGCTTCCAGGTCTTCTCCTGCCTAGACGACGGGATGGGCCACACGTCTGTGGAGAGAGTACTCGACACCTGGCAGGAGGAGGGCATTGAGAACAGCCAAGAGATCCTGAAGGTGGGGCGCCAAACTGGGCCAGAAACGACACACCAGGGGCGGGTTGGAAATTTTCAGTTGTTTTTTTTTTTTTAACTCTGCCATTTGATTTGATTTCTCCTTAATGATTCTTCTGTTCATAAGATCTCAGAGATCAGTGGTAACTTACCCTCTTTTAACCAGGTGCCTTTTGCTAAATACTTTCTATGTTTCTAACCCCCAAATTATTGACACCAGAAATGTCCTCTGGTTGGTAAAGATCAGAGTTTTACCATTGTGTTTATTTATAGTACCAGGTAGTTTTTTTTTTTAAGTGCAAATAACCATATTATGCTTTCCTTAGATCTTAGTTTTGTTCTAGATTGGAGATTGTTCCTGAGTAATCGCTAAATAAATGGAACCATCCAATTTCCAGACCCTCTTCGGTTCTCTGAGTTTGTGTATTTTCTACTTCCGAGGCTAGAACCAGTGATTTGTCCTGAACTCCTGCCTTGTTCTGATTTCTAGGCCTTGGATTTTAGCCTCGATGGAAACATCAACTTGACAGAACTGACGCTGGCTCTTGAAAATGAACTTTTGGTCACCAAGAACGGCATTCACCAGGCAGCTCTGGCCAGCTTTAAGGCTGAGATCCGGCATTTGTTGTGAGTGTGTGGGCAGAAGGCTCACCTGCTCTGTTCACGTTGCCCCTTATCCAGCCAGTCACTCGGACACCTTGGAGAAACATTCTTCCATTCTGTGTTCAAATGTGGCTAATCTTCTATCATCTAACTACTGCACCACCTTCTTTAGTTGTAGCAAAAGGAAGCAGAACTGAGGTGGGCTTTGGAAGGGAACTGTGGAATGCCTTTGTAAACTGTAAAACGCCTTTGGGAGGGTTGGGGTCGTCCTGGTTTTGGTTTTGTATTGAAACAAGCCAAAGGGGAGCTTCCTTGGGTCTCCTTGTTGCTTAGAAACAGTTTCCCATTGACTTGGTTTATTTGTGATTCTAGGGAACGAGTTGATCAAGTGGTCAGAGAAAAAGAGAAGCTGCGGTCAGACTTGGACAAGGCTGAGAAGCTCAAGTCCCTGATGGCCTCAGAAGTGGACGATCACCATGCGGCCATAGAGCGGCGGAATGAGCACAACCTCAGGTGCAACTCACCCACCACCCGGACCCGGGGCAGCAGCATCTGCAGCCACCACAGGGCCAGAACAGAGCCCAGGACTCTGCACCCCTGCAGCTGGAGACCAGAACAGAGCCCTGGACTCTGCTCCCCTGCAGCTGGGGACCAGAACAGATCCCGGGACTCTGCTCCCCTGCAGCTGGGGGTGTCCCATGCCAGAATAGAGCCTGGGACTCTGCTCCCCTGCAGCTGGGG